TATATATAAATTTATAAATTAAATATTTCATCCATGTCACAGACTCTCCTAGTAGTCCACGAACGCAGCAGTAGACGCTCACACACATATATATATATAATAAAATCGATTGTTGTCGTTATATAGGTTACTATCAGCTTTTTATAGTGTGTATGATAGTATACAACGACACTAACGTCATCCAGCCGTGGTATTGCGGACAACCAAATAGAAACTGACTGCTCCTTCTCAATTGGAGACGTTTAATAATCTCCTTGGTGAAGTATTTCTTCGTACTACCCTCGTCCCTCAGCGCCGGAATAAGCAGAAAATTATATCATCCGAACGAAAGGTATACAGCGCGAGTGTACCAGCCCGAAGCTGCGGTTGTTCCACTCTGAGGCGTACCCATCCCTACGCTACCTACACTTTTTAAACCGAGATATGTGGTAAATAGGTACGGCCGAATCCATATATTGCTTGGGTGGTTTTGAATTTGGTATAGAACGGGTCCGGTTCGTACCTGTCCAGCCCGAGGCCCATATTTTATGGACAGGTGCACTTGCACGTCACGGGTCAGGTCTGCGACTATAGAACTGGCTCACCGAGATGCCTTCTTCGCATATGATCCACATATACTATACCATCGCATACATCGTTGGTGTAACAACTAACACATACATCGCTAGTATATGTTAAGTTATTCCCATGCTTTAGAGTTTTAGGGTTTAGGGGTCTAGGGGTTAGGGTTTTGGGGGGTTTTTATACCCTAAACCCTTCTCGTGCGTAGCGGTGATTGCATGGAGACGGCAAGCGGGTGGACAGGACCTCCTCCGCTATCCGGTAGAGAGAACGACATCCTGCAATGCGTTTAGTTCCAATATTGTTGCCGTTGATGTGTGCTCCGAAGGACACGGGTTCATGGATATACCCTTGCAACTATGTACTTGCGAGTATGAGTGACACTTGAGTCTCATACTAATACACGTTCGGACACCAATCCCAAAGGTGCGTACATTCAGGGAAGTCTGGCTCGAGCGTTGAATGTGTGTGTGTAGGCGTATCTATACCATAGGGCGTTGTCTGTGTGACAAGGCTCCGTTACGCCAGGCTACTGCTCGCTCACTGAGCAGGCCAAGCAGGGCTATGTTAGTTAGCGAAGCACGTCTATGCTGTACGCACAGCAACCATCACTGCCCAATCGCGTATTCCACGTTCCTTCGTCCGAAATGAACGCGTAGACGACATACTGTAGCTCACAATGCTATCCGTTAATGGACGTCTCAATCAATCGACTCAATCCCGTCCGCCAATTAATGTCACAATTTTATCCGTTGATTGGTCAGTCTGTCAATCAACTCAATCCTATTCAATAATTACTGTCTTAATCCTATCCGTTGATTAATGTCTTCAACCTATTCGTTAATAAATTTCTTAATCCTATCAGTTAATTGAAGTCTTAATCATATTTGTTAATTAATATCTTCATACTATCCGTTAAATAATATCATAATCCTATCAGTTACTTAAATGTCTCACCAATCAACTCAATCATATCCGTTCGATTACCGATCAAGATCACGAACGACGAGAGTAGCAACAGCAGGCCCAGATTGCTCGACCTTACGCCAACCCCAAACACCGTCGCCTTCATAATAAGATTGTTCAAGAACATAAGGAAGGAGTCTAGTTCTTCCATGGGGGCGTTCATGTACCCTTCATTCCGGACAACAATGCCCTGTAATGTGCAGCATAACAAAGATAAGCGAACTGTGGGGGTAAAGATTGAGATCAGTATAGCGCCGATGTGATCCACATGAC